TAAAAGTGTGAATTAAAGTAACCATACATTTTTCTACAGGTGGAATCATGCTTAAAATCCAATCAGAACCAACTAGGAGGTGGTCAGTGTAGCCCTTTGTCTCCCCATCCATTTATGAAAAGTCATTTGTATTCAAATGTTCAGGAGAGGTTCATTTTGAGCACAGACATAAACATAAAAACCCATCGGGACATGAACTGGCCTTGTCTTTGCTGGGCACAGGTTTCACTCTGATTTATTCATTACAAAGCTTCTGCTCAATTAGCTGGTACTCTTTCATATGTTTATGTCTACATAAGGAAATTAGAGAATGACTGCTAACATAATATCTCTCATAATTAGAAAAGAAAAAGTCAGCCAAGAGCAATCCATCACGAAATTGTGGGACGAAAACGAACGAAATAAGAACCATATGAACAACATTATGGCTCGTCTTGGTTCTGGGTGTGTTACTTGTTGTTGATGGTGGTTTGGGAAGTCTAGGAGCCGCCAGTGATTTAGGCCCTGTTGACACTGTCCTGGCACAGCCCTTCGGTCTGACTCATCCCTCCTGTGTCACTGCAGCAAAGATCGAACTCACTGATTGAGTGACGGAGAAATTAAATGGGTTTTTAAGAAATTCTGAATGAAAGCCCATTACTGCTGCTCAGGGCATCCGTTGGCCTCTTGAGGATTACCGTGTCAGTCCATGATTCTTCCGATTCTGTCCAGGTATCACCGCGTCTTAATGAAGGCTGAAAAAATCCATCTGAGACATTTTATCCGGGCTGGATTACAAGGAGGATTGCCGCCGCGTGACTCAGACGGGGATTCCCTCCGTGTGCACGTGTGTATCTGCGAGTGTGCGCGTGAGACATTTTTTGCACATTTTCAAACGTGGTCGCATGCGTTTCCGCAGCATGCGTGTAACCCCTCGCCTACATTGTTCTTGTCAATTAGTTCAAGTTCAGCCGCAGTCTTTCCTGTTTTGAACGCTATTGATATTCCCCTTTTTCCTCTGGCTGCAGTTCGAAATCCTTTAATTAAACCTGCGGGATAGCCAGCGATCAGAATCCCACCGGGTCTCAGCCGTGGCAAAGAGAATTTGTAGGGAATTGGAAAGAAAACAATGAATAGACTGAAACTTCAATGATTCTCACAAAGGAGGTCAGGAAAAGGAGAGTCTGGTCAGAGGCAGAGTCCCGAGTATTCAAAGGCCTAAAAAAGAAAGCAGAATATCAAGAATATCAAGCCTTTCTGTAAAGGATTGTCATATGAGGTAACATAATAAAGTTTAAGTTTAACCATCAGTTTCTTATCTTCTTATCTTATTTTGTATCTATTTGCTGTCTTTTTTTAAATATTGTACACTTCAGTTTGGTCTGTGGTCATATTTTGTATGTTTGTATCGTTTTAGAACTGTTTTGGTGATTATTGGCAATATTGAGATTTGCTTCTTTTTTTTTTCCATTTTCTTGTCATCATTTTGTTTTTATTAGCTTGTGATCATTTATTGTATCTTTGAGTGGGTTTTGGGGGGTTTTATTCTAGTTTTTGCTCTGTCAGCTCTGCGGTGATGCTCATTTGAATTAATCAGTCAGTCTGCACCCTCAGTGGTCACACACCCAGCACCTCACGTCACAGACACACTACTGTCTGAATTTGTTTTTTCCTTTTCTAAATTCTACTAAAACATTGATGGCACATTTTTCTGTGATATCAGGCAATTAGGATTCAAAGTTAATTCTGGCTGACTCAGACTTTAACCTCTGTATGTGCTCTCCATGGTGCTGAAGCAAAAACAAAAACTAAAAAGAACAAAAAAACAATTACATGTGATCAGTTCTGGGTCACGGTCATGTTTAAAGGAGATTTCATGCTGAGCTGCACACATTTATCCCATTTTTCAATGTGTAAAGGTCCAAATATAGAAATAAACGCAGAGTGAATCTGATTGGCGTGACACTACGCTGTACTGAACTTACTGACCTATTACCAGCATCCACAAATGTATTAATTTCCAAAGGGTGTATTCTTTGAATGAAACCTCGTCATATTGACACTCATTCTCTGAGACGGTTTGCCACACACACGCACACACACACACACACACACTTGGCCGACGGCTCATAGAGAAGATGACAGAGCCCAGTTACAGTAACAACCCTACTGCTATCTCACGCCCATGTGTCTGCAGTGCAGCCTGTAAATCTTCCTCTGTTATTGTTTTAATAACATTAATGTTATCATTAGCCAAGTGGTAAAAGAGTCAGACATCAAAAGCCAGAAACATCTGAGCTATATTGGGGTGAAGACAAAGGGCGAGGGCCCGGCTTGTGAAAATAGCGGGCCGTGCTGACTCGGCAGAGCGTGTACACGGTCGTGCGTTTGTGTGTGTTTGTGTTTGATGTGTGTGGGCGCAAATTTATACACTAATAGCGCACTTATGTAAGTGAATAGATATTTAAATGTGGGCAAGCGTACAAAAAAGCTCCAAGCAACCTGCACAGAACAAAGCCCTCCAGCTGCTCGGTAAAACTGACTTCTCAGAGCTCCATTTCCCCCAAACCACAAAGCCTCATAAAGCCAAGCACCCATATATAGCTAATGGGTCCATACTGATGCCTCTGGTGCTGCTTAATGGGGGAAAACACCCTGATACATTTTCCAGCACATGACTTTGTTTTTCTGAATCAACAGCTCCACCTCTTTTCCTGGCCACAGGGAGAGGGCTCTGAAATCATGTCTGATGGAGATGAAGCATCATAAAACCCGAGGAGACATGATTAAAGTCCTGCATGCATGTTCCATTGTGTGCAGCAGACTGTCATGGAATATCTGAAAACCTGTAGGCTGGAGTGGAAATGTTTTTTTTTACTGCTGCGACCCCTTGTGCTCTTTAGCATGCGGGCAATAAAGTGAAAGCCACAATGTTGCAAATGGGACGACTCTGTCTGTATCGGCCTGTTGATGTCAGGATACTTATGCCTTTAGTACCTTTAGAATTTGACCTCAAGCATGATCAGATATTCAGACAATTGCTCATCGGTTCTATAAATCAGCTTGGAGGAATCTTTTGGCCTTCATTCCTAAACACAGAGGAGGTCGAACGAAGAAAGAGGCAGCCCACAGCTAAGGTCGAAAGGTCTAAAGTCTGTGTGATGATAAGAAGAGTGAGGTTAATGGATTGTATTGCTAAAATAAACATGGATCTCCAGGAGTAGTCATATTCTTGATGGTTCCATGTCTCAAAAATTCCTGGCGACACCTCTGAATCAATGGTACCTTCACACTCATCCGTGCTTCGGACCCCGATGGCTTTCTCAACTTTCTCTGACAAAAGTTCAAGGGGTCTTTTCAATCTTTGGAGTAGAGCCCTGATTGACAGTTTCTCACGCGGTGCTGACTAATGACTAATGAAAGGATATCGAGCAATGATTTCTGTTTTTGACCTTTATCGGTTGAAATTTCCCTCTACTGAAACAACCAAATCTATGATAGTACTCCCACCGTGCTTTGCCATTGAGAGAGGATTGACAAATTGAGTGTTTATGAATGCAGCCCTCCCCCCTCCCCCTAAACATCTGGTAATTTGACCGAAAAAATCTGTCTTGAGCCTTCGCGTCCACAAAATGTTTTTTCTGACAGAACTCTGACTCATCCGCGTGACCTTTGGCTAAGTGAAAACAGCACTAATGTTTTTTTGTTTGGTTTGTTTTAGATTCTCAACAGAAAGTAAAACGAGAAGGAAGGGGGAGCTCTGTGGGCGGCGTTCTGGTTAAACCCCCTGAGCAACCTATCTTTGAGGGCAGTAGGTTCTTTGTGGTTCAAAGTCAATCTATTAAATAACCTGCTAATCAACAAGATCTGCAACCTTTCATGCAAAGTTATTTACAACCTTTCTTGGGTTCATATTATCATGAAGTTGAACTGTTGTTACAATATTATGACATTTTAGGTCATATCCAAGCAGAATTCTATATATTTCAGACCATTCTGCAATACTTTGAAAAGTTTGGGCACCACTGTATATGTATTGTGTGCATGTGGGTGTTTGTGAGTGTTTAGATGGGGTTTCCAGTGGATGCCAAGCTTTCCATAATTTTTCCTGACACAACACATTTTAATGGTTTCTGCTGAGTGCCAACAATTGAGAAATCAAGTCACATCAAAACGGTGGAACACTAAAGTCCATTGTTTACACTTATGGCTCCAGCTATTTAAATCTGAAATAGAAGAGGCCATTGGACACCACAACTCAATTGTTTTGTTGTTGCAAAACTCTTTGCAACAGGAATCTTTCGAAGAAACCTCTTCGACATCGAAGATGTATGGACCAGTTAATGATATTTAAATATTACATTCCGTAGATGGTTTGCCTAGCTCTTCACCTGTAAATCAAGTCAGAACTCCTCACAAGAATTCAGCCATGGTTTTTCCTCCTCGACCCTCAGATTTGATTTCAAACTCTCAGAAATGTTAGAGCGACGAGTTGGAAGTCGTGTGAGGTCTAGTCTTACGGCATAAACGTGTGAAGCTCAGCCGTCATCTGGTAAACGCCCAGGGAAAAGACAATAGAGGAATTGTATTGTCTAACATTTAAGGTTTCTTTCCGCGGGGCTTCACGGGAGTCTCAGTGATCAAAACAGCTTACGCACATCCCAGTGAAGCAAATTCTAATGGTTACTCTCCTCTTGCGCAGTCTGTTTCTTGTTTGTTCTGCAGGTCGCTACGAGCTGTGGTTCGGATATCTGCAACAAGTTAGAGGGACTTCAACAGCTGTGGGTGGTTTCTGTATACAACTGATCTCTGTAATGAGCTGGTGGGCCGCTCTCACCGAGCGAACAGTGTAGAAAAAGGAACGGCATGACTTCACTATTTGGTGGAGACGGTGATGAATTTCCCAAAGTTTGAGGGGGATTATCAAACAACACACGACATTATGGCAGGCAGGGTGGCCATCTTGTGGAGCTCCAATGAGGAGGAGACCTGCGAAGTTTAATCACTGCAAACGACAGCCTGGATCTGGTAATTTTAATACAAATGGAACACTGTTACAAAAGTACTTCTTTATTAAAACATACACAACCATAAATAGTAAGAAAACTGAATGGAAAAAACATTTAAAAAAGCTTTTACAGGTATGCTACAATCTTGTAGAGGGGACAATATATCCATATTGCTCTTGGGTAGGCAAGTACACACAGAATTGTCAAAATGAAGATGCATAAATATAAAATTTGAAATGAAGCCCCTGTGTTTTAATTACAAAAAGCGTGTCTACTATTTCCTCTAAGTGCTGAAAAATAAATGTCATACAGACATAAAATATAGATGATTTAAACAGCCGATAGGTCAATTTAACAATGACCTGTCTCTGTACTTCTATATCTAATAAATAAATATTTAGTGCATATTCCCATTTACCTCCCTAAAGAGCCAAATGAAAAACAGAATTTAAGTTAAAGACTAACCAAACTCAATTTGGTTCCTCTAGTTTAAGACAAGAGTATATCGATGTCATCTACGGTCAGACAGTCCAGCTATCTGCGTCGCTTGCTAATCCTCACAAACAAAACAAACAGATGTCATTTCTTCCTACGTTTGAATGACATGGTCGAGTAAATGCCTTCGGCGGCCGTTTAGGACAGAAAATAGGTCCCCGGAGTACACTGGTTTTGTTGTTTTAAAACAATGTCAGAGTCAAAGTGAGTCTTATACGATCGCTTTGCTATTGTGATTGTGAAATAAAGAAATCACACTCTAACTGCTTCCTCAGCTTAAACTGCTGAGTTACTTATAGTGCGGATGCCTCATTTCCCACCTTGCGCACACAAAGCGTCCAGGATTACATTTATGTTTTCACTGCTGTGCATCAGACTAAGCTCCACGAGTCTTGTTATTTTTTCCCCCTTTGATAAGCCACTAAGTACAAGCAGATGTTCTATCAATTACAGCGCTCTTTTCTGGACTTTTTTTTCCCCAACGAGCGCTGATAAAAACCTTTTCTTGCTGATCCTCTTGCCAGTAAGCTCACTTCCTTAGTTGCTGCAGAGGGGTTTGTTTAATTAGCACATAAACACATGTCAATTCTTGTTCTAACGGTGTAATCTGAATCGTGATGTATTGAAACGTCCAACGCGAAACCACAACGCTTTAAAAAAAAAAAAAAAGGGCCAAATAAATCCAGTGCTATTTTGGATGAAGTCGAGAGCCGTGTGGGAAAGTGGAGATGTGTTTTCAAAAAAGTGGTTACCTTTTCCATAAGTTTTCTCATACAAGACAAAGATGTTATTTGATGAGGACCAATGTGAATCACACATGGAAAAAAAAAAAAAAAAAAACTTCGTGGAAAAAAAAAAAAACTTTTCTTTGACAAATCAAAATAATATATCACTAACAGTGGTTCTTTGGCAAAAAAAAAAAAAAAGTTCAGTAGCATGTCCTCTCCGCATGTGTTAACGTTTCAGTTACTCAACTTTATGGCCCCAAAGTACGTCCCTTCTGCCTCCGGGTCCAGCATCCGGGCGTTGGACACTTTGACGAACAGGCCGTCGCCCTGGAAGAGGCGGAGCCCCCGGCCCTGCTGGGCGCAGTACATGTTGTAGCTGGTGTCGTTCCAGCGCATGGTGCTGCCCGTCTTCATCAGCAAGGAGAAGTGGCTGTTCTGTTTGATGCTCTCGTGGTAGACGTACTGGATGAGCTGGGTGTTGCTCAGGCCCACCGCAGTGTGACTGCCGGACCCGGATCCGGATCCCGGGACCTTGTAGTAGCGGAAGCAGGTCTGAGCGTACACGTAGTAGAAGCCCGACTCCATCGCGACCAGCTTCCCCCTCTGGTAGCGCATTTTGTGGAGATTTCCGTGTATCTCGTCCCACTCGATGTTGCTGGGATCGAGCTCTGTGTGGAAAATGACAAAGAAGTTTTTGGTCATTTTGATCTTGAGATAAACCCACTGGTTTATTCTGCGCTTCATCAGAATCAATACGTTTTCTAGTACTTGTTATCCTCATAGTTTAAAACTAGCAATTGTCTAAATTCAACAAGAAAATGTCAGAATTGACGGACAGCTCTTCAGTTATGTGTCGCATTAATAAACACAGCACAAGCAAAAGTGCAGCTTACTTTTACTTGCGTTTTGGCACTATGGATGACGCACTACACACAGGGCTATGTATTTAAACTGTGGGCAGTTCAAGCATAGCCTGGGGGAGTTAAGAAAAGATAACCTGACTTCAGAGGAAAGATTTCTATGTCTAAGAAAATAAACTTTGACGTGATCATTTCAAAAGCCTCAAAAAAGACTTGTGAATCAGGAACATTTGTACTGACTGCAGTGATTGCAAAAAGCTTTGAAATGTTGTCAGAGGTTGGCAAGAAAGGTGATGTTGTTAATGATTAAAATTCAGTGGAAATCCTAAGTGAAAATGAAAATGATTTTTTTAAGGTAAAACGTGTTCAGGAATTGTATTCACGTTTGTATAAAATCTTTCATTCTCTATCATACCTCTGAAGATGCCAATCGGCCAAAGACATTTTTTGTTTTAGAACTTTTACCATCTTGAGTTGATGGGTCTCATCATTTCAGTCACTTTCAGGCGAGGTGCAATTTCAAATGAGCTGTTTCTCCTCCCCTTAATGCGTATCATGTCTTTGTTTACAGAGGCAAAAAGCTCCTTAGGTGTAAAAACCTTTTTACGTATAAGTAGATTTTTCTTTATCTTTACATTTCCACTCCTCCTTTTTAAAACGATATTTTCAAAGTTTGAATGAAAAGGGGTCATCACAATCTTGCTACCTCGCCACACTGCTGCCCTTGGTTGGTATTTGAGTAACAGGGACTCAACTATGCAGATATAACGAGGTACAAACTGTGTTTTCTCATTACCGTCAGTGTCAGAAGAGGACAGAAATACTCTCAAATGCACCCTTATTCAAAACATTTTCATTTTGTCAAGACAGATAACAAATCTGATTTTTTTCCGGAACAGAAACAAAGAAGTTCAACGAGCTTGACTCACTCTTGGAGAAGGTCTGGTTGGCTTTGATCGGTAGGTGGGCTGACGGCAGAGACTTCTTGCCCTTCTTAGGGTCTTTCAGTGCATTTAACACTGGCTGAGTCTGTACCTCCTGTAGATAGAAAAAAGAATAAAGATCATTCTACTGTACAATCGCTCTTTGATGGATTTAGGCTCCCAACCATCTCTCATGCCTGTCTCCTACGAATCCGTAGTCCCATGAATGTTTATCAAGATCCAAGTTTCTAAATGGGAAAGCTTATTTACATTTACATTTCATGGTGTAAGAAGACAGTAAGCGTACGGGCATCTACGAACTGCACGCCTGTATATCATCCAACCTTTTTGGCTGGCTTGCTTACTCCTTATTAAACCCATGGTCGTATTTGTGGCTAGAGGCCACGATGGGGAGGCCTACTGTCAAGTTCGACTTTATCAAAAGACTGTGCCTCTCACGGATTTGGCACAAATAGTATCCGGTATCTGGATTTAATTCAAATACCCCCCCAACACACAAACACACACACACTTAAGTGCTGATTCTATTCAAGGCCGTGATGACCATCCACAATCTGAGCTGGTCTGACTTCAGGCAAAAACGAAGCGTACACACAGTGAGGAAAACATGGTTTCCAAGCGCGTAAACAGTTGCTGTGGAGGAGCTGCCAACTCTCCTACACATTTGGCATGAAGACTGAGACCTCAGGTGCGAGCACTGTTTTTTCTCTGCAGAGAGACGACATTCTTAGACTCAAACCCTTGAGTGTAATTTGTGCAGATTTCCAGATAACGAGCGGATTTGGCGAACAACAAACGTCAGTTAGAGATGATCAAGATTGATCGAGGTGTTATTATATCCGAAAGGTGTTCAAACTTGTCTTCTCGTTTAAGGGGTAGTTTCCTCTCGGCCAGGAATTCCAGGAATCCTGACGTTTCATCACCGCTCTCAGCCAACGTTTAAAAAAAAAAAAGAAAAGGAAAAGAAGCGGACTGATAATTTCGGGAGCTACGTCGTTTCTTTGAACAACTTTTAAAAAAACAAGCGTTTAACACTCTAAATGAACCCAACCACACCGGTCAGCCACACCGGCGTCGCAAACAGGGTTTGGCCAGGTTGCACCTGTGCTGAGCTGACAGCGAGCGCTGACCGCTCTGACCACTCTGACTACTCTGGCCGGAGTTCAGTCCAAGATTAGCCCCGCTTTCTAAAGAACGGTTGGCCCGGAGAGGAATGTTTACGGCGCGGCGCCCTGGAGTGACACGGGCGTAAACAACACATTACTACTGAATAAGTGCGCGCACGCTCCCCGACTGGACTGGACCGACTTTGTGGGATCCCGGCTTGATTTGTGGTCACGTCTCTTTGACCAAAATTGAGCAGATCGTTCAAAACGGAGCCGAGGCAAGTTTATCCTGATCTACGGCTCGATCAGAGCTTAAAACGGGGCCAAACGGAGCCTCGGCATGAAGAAAAAAACGTCTAGTTGGAAGGCCCACTTGACTGCGCATGCTCGGTCCTGCCGTCCCACTTCAGCTCAGCCCTTTAACTACACACGCGTCATTCAACACGTCTATTATGTCCGCGAGCGGTTTTTCTGAAATGCTACTCCAGAACAAAAGTCCTCTCACTCGGAGATGGCCACCAGAGAAGACTGCTCTTTTTGCCCTTTTTCAGAATCAGCCTGGCTTCACAGATCGCCGCACATTATAAACATTCAGATCGTGATTCATGGCCCTGCGAGCAGGCCGCCGACCACAGGCCCGAGTCGGACCGGGCCGGGGCCTACACATCCTGTCCACCGTCCGTACAATCGAGCTGACGGCGGTCCGCCAAGGCCACCAAGTCGTCCAACCCGAGGAACGAAGCGCCGCGCTCCGTGGGAAACAGGCTGGCGGCGCAATGTGCTCCTCAGTCCTAGACAGGCTGGGTGGCTTGTCTAAGCACTCCGCCAGGGATACCCGAGGCAAACACAAACACGTCGTTTCAAAGGAAAATGAAAGCACCATGGGAAACCAAACAGAAGTAAAAAGCTTTTATACTGTTTAGCTTCACTTCCTGGATACTTTGCTTGGCAAAGGCCTGTGCCCAGCAGAGGGGAGGGGGGTCGCTTCCAAAAATGGATTTGGCCAAATAAAAAGATATTACATCTCAGGCTACAACTGATCGTCGATAAAAATAATAAAACGGCAGCCAGCAGGCGCCGACGCCAAGGGGTGACTCACCAGCCGTGCGCGGCACGAGAGGTCGATCGATCAAACCGGTGGAAAAATCCTAAAGGAGAGGCTTTTTTTTTAACCAAAGGTGTTTGTGCTGCTGTGGTCTGACCTCAGCGCAGCCTGTTTGACCAGCTGGGGGGTTTATGCTGGCTTTACAGAAGCAGCGGCCCTGCACGGAAAACAAAAAACCCGTGGGAAAATTCCGACTTCTGCCGGTTCAAAAGAGCAAATGATCATTTTACCCCTTTTAAAAACACCACGGGCCCTCAGAACCAGCACGAGCACTGTACTTTCCTTCTATCGGCCTCAGGAGGAAATGACTTTTATGAAAGCCAATTGCCTCTGAGACATTATCTTGCCTGTGTCATAATCATGTTTCCTCTCTTTTGTCGAACTTTACGCCAGTGTTCAGTAGGTGAAGGATGCAGCTAAGGGGCACAGGATGAATGAGCCGTGCTCGGACTCACCTCTATTGGCCGATGCGGGGCCCTCGACAAGTCTACCTGTGGAAGAAGAAAGAGAGGTTAGACAAGTCAGTGCCGACACACGTAAACTTTAGCTTATTGTGTATTATCTGTGTCTTTGTGGAAGCAAGGTGTGGGCGGTTGGGACGGTTCCCAAAAATCTTAAGGAAGACTCTCAGTGAGTGGGAGGTTAACTTATTTTCCGCGTGTCTTTCTGCATTCCGCTGCGACGAGGGAAAGTCTCACTGATCTGGATCTTTGTTCTGTAGCCACCCGTGCAGACGCAAGCAAGCAGGACTCCACAAACCCTCCTGTTCCTAACACGTTCTGCAACTGTCGAGGGTGTGTAATGAGTCCCAGAATGCAGGAGACAGGAGACTCTGAGTGTTCACAACAAATACCGATCGGATCAAAGTCAACCCATCCATGATAATCTCTTCGATTCAGAGTTAGTTATTATACAACATCTCCCTTTAGCTCTTATCCCTGTGTTTTTTTTTCTCCACCTTTCTTCCTCCATTCCTTGTTTCTTCTGGCACAAATCCATGACTAAACTATCCGCCACCACATACCACGGAGTCTCTGCCAGAGACTTTGAGCACGCACACCCGGAGACACGAAAGAGAGCGAGATGCTCCCCCAGGTGAACCGTGATTGAGCGGACATGCGGTGTGCTCCTCTGGCTTGTTCAAATATGACAATTACTTCGCTGCAAAACCGCCATAACCCACAAAACTCTCCTGACTGAGCTCACAGGAGGACAAACATGAGCCGATGAGGAGCCCTGATGAGTGGATAGGAGTACTTTTGTTGTTCTTTTTTTTGTTTTTTTATCATGCCTAAATGCTCCTTTCCAGGAGCAGCTCATTCTTGAACTTTACCAGACCCCCTCTGCCTCCCCCTTAAAAAAAACTGCTCTGCTTATGCTCAAGAGTTTACAACTTATGACTCATATAAATTACAAATACAGCCCGGGATGGCATGTAAACACGCGCATGAGAAATTGCAGTGTTGCAGCCTCAAGTGAAAACATCTGTATCTTGCAAACAAGACATCTTGCAGGGCTGACATTTCTCTTTCGCAGCGGCGCCTCAGCTTACAAGAGATGTTATCTCTGCAAAAAAAAGACGCTTTGATTTTTAGCGCCAGTCTCTGGAGAAGAAGAAGAAAAAGAAAGAAAAAGAATAGACTGATATCACAAATCTCAGTGGAAAGTTGCACCAGAGCTTCTTACGATGTTATCAGTCAACCAGCCTGTCTCTCTCTTTCTCTCTCTCACTTTTTTCCGCAATGAGGGAAGAGGAGTTCTTAACTGCCGCAAACAGAAGCCAGCAGTGTGCGAAAAAAGCCTGGCCCGCAAACCTTTACAACTACAAACCGGCTACTCTGCTTCTAAGCGTGCGGGCCGACGGCTCCAAACGGCTTGAGCTTTGTTACTTTCCCTTGTCAGTTTACGACATTATAAAAAAAAAAACTATTGCGCAAATGTTGTATTGCAATCGGAACTCGCGCGTAGCCTGGGAATGTTGACAGGGTCCTGTGGCCTGGGTGAACGCGTATATAATGTGTTTATATGTATATATATATATGTGTATATATACAAAGTTTGAGCAAAAACTTCATAGGTGGGCTCGTGTTGCGCTGTGGAGATAATAAAAAATAAAAGAAACCCAAATAAGCGCGCGCGGCGTCACGTTGTGCGCCTACCTCCTGCAGATAACCTGTCAGGTGCAGCAGGATCGCCACGCTGGAGGCCACCTGGAGCAATCCCATAACAGCCAGGGTCCCGAACAGCAGGGGCCGGTACGTGCCCTCCGAGGTGTGCACCGGGTGGAAGCGGTGCTGGCCCGCCTCGATGTCGACGGAGTTCCGCAGGTAGGCTCGGTACTCGCCGTGCGTAGCTGCCATGGTGCGCGCCGTGTGTGTTTGTGCGTGTGCCGTTCCGCCGCGGGGCCAGGTCCCAGACTCAATGCAAGAACGGAAGCGGAGCCCTGCGAGAGTCCTTGTAATGAGTGGGTGGGCTGAGATAGAGAGAGAGAGAAAGAGAGAGAGAGTTGCTCGTTTTGGGTTTTTTTTTCTTTCCCTTTCCTCTGCGACCAATCACAGCGATCTTCCGGCGCGCAAGTTTGCCGGGACCCGAAGCGAGAAAAACGTCTGGCGAAATCGACCTGAGCCCAGGGCAGGTAAAGCGAGCTCTTTATGGCCTCTGAAGACCTTTGCAGAAAGCTATTAACATGCGAGCTCCACGCCTCCTGCGCGTCAACACCCACGATGACACACTCTCGCTGCGCTTTTGCCTTTCGCAGCGCAGCAGGGATGTGCACTGGAATAAATTAGGGGCGAAACATACATTCCAGCCCTCCTCCTATCAGATAAAGACATTGTCTGAATCCTAATAAGAATAAATAAATAAAAAAAGACAGGTCCAGTTTTAATGGTAACTCCTAACAACCATGGCAAAAAGCTTTTGCAATACATATTTTTAGGCAGAAATACAAAATTCCCCTGTTCATTTATTAAAAAAAAAGGCTATCTTAGATCTGTCTTAATAGAGAAAAAAGTCTGACTTTTGGCTGCTGAACAGACAATGACTACATTTTGCATTTGCAATGAGTCAGAGTAGCCATAAAGTTAATCCTGAAATGAATTAATGAAGTACATATATGAGGTGACAGTGAGAAAAGCAAGAGGCTAAATGATTTTTTAGGCACACTGGTCTTAGGATAACCCCTTAAAAAATAAAAGTTTATACATTATGTTTAAACGTAATGTTTATACAGATATTCTGTCTACTTTGATTTGAAAAAAGTATGACACATTTTGGATGGCGTGATGGATAAATGTAAAATGGGTGGGTGGGTGAAGAAAACTGATGAAGTTCCAGTATTTATCCAACTCTGTGACCTATAACATACTTTATATGACCCTTTTATAAAACAAAAAGACTAATGTTTCCCACAACAAGCAGGCGGCCAACACTCCGGGAGGTCTTGTCACTTCTGTCTCTGAGATGTTTCCTGTCTTTATGCCAACTGGCTGGAAGTTGATTGTAACTACATTTTAGAGCCACAATATCCACATCATCATCGAAAAGAAAACGTAGACATTTACATCCTGGCTGCCCTTAAACGTAATCAAATATCTACGCCCAGCAAATATTCTTAACATCCATTAAAGATGAACCAGACGAATGATGAAATAATCCAATGATGAGACACCGAAAACAGATGACAGCAACCTGGATTTCCACTATTTCAACAATAGAGAGGAAACAAAATAATGAAAAGCACGTCATAATAATGAAGTGATTCATGACTCTGACCACAAATGTCCCCAACAGGATTTCCTTTAAAAACAAGATGTTAAGCTTTCTCTTACCTCCATTTAAGTACTCTATCATGACTCAAAACATAGTGGGTGGGTGAACGGGATAACAACTAATAAGTCAAGTCAAGTCAAGTCAAACTTTATTTATAGAGCACATTTAAAATAACCAAAGTTGCCAAAGTGCTGTACAGGTAAAAATAAGGGAAATCGTTTTCGTTATCATGCCAAATCACCCCCCTTTGGGAAGAGGCATCTTACTTTGGCAACATAGGGGCTTACTGGAGGAAGAGGATTTTGTTCTGGTTTCATGCCCCATTCACCGACTTCAAGCTGAGGATCCAAGTCCACATCAGCTCTGCGGTCTTGGGAGCTCAGTGTAGGAGGCAGTGGATCTGGATCCACAAGTTCTTGGGCAATACCACTGAACTTCACATTTCCTCCAATAGATATTTTGCTGTGAGTGGATGCATTTCAGAAAAAAAAAAGAGTTGAAAAGTACTATAAAAAATGCAGACCATACAAAAAAACAAAATACTGTTTGTGTTACTAAAGATTTGTTATGGTTGTCCAGGCATGTCGACAAGTATGAGAACAAACATTTACTCAAAGGTCCAGTGTGTGGGATGCAGAGATATCCAGTAGCACAGACTCAGATTTGAAACCAAATTAATAAGACCCGTTACGCTTCAGTTATTGTGGTAGAGAAAATGTCAAAAGTTCATGACTGCTGTAACAGTGTGGCAGCGGAAGGATGGTTCCAACAAATCTACAACGATCATATCACACAATAACAGACAAAACTTGTCACCACAATTGTGTTTATGACTATTATGATACAATTTTTGCCAATAGATGGACCTAAATATTACCTATTGGACTTAGAAACTCTATTTTGGCATGTTTTTTACATGGAATATTGTGCTGACTGTTGAGATCGCGAGAACAATGTTTGGTCCATTATTTTATCCAAGCTTAATTCAGCATGTGTTCTGGACAAACTAAGGATTGCTGGCCTCGTGATTGGTGGACAACTGCTCTACCTCCTGAGCCCACAGGCCGCCCACAGCTGTTGTTTGGGCAAATATGTAAGTAAAAAATGGCCTCGATACATATTCAGCGGAGACAGACAAACATGACCATTTATTTTTGGTGGGGTTTTTGACCGCTTGATGAATCTCAGTCTAATGTTAGCTCTGTTTTTGTCTCAAATAAGCCCTGAGGGACGGTAAGTGTTACTTTTAATTCATCGTCAGGTTGCCAACCCTGTCAAGGTGCTGGGAAGTTTGCATAAATATTGAGATAGAATACTTTGACAATGCCGTGGCATAAAATGTAGAATAGTGCAGCTTTAAACGTTTTAAGAAAATGTATACCAGAGCTCTAAAGTGTGTGTAAAGTGTGTATATGTCATGGCGAGTAATGTCACCACAGCTATGTGCCTGGAACAAACACAAGAAGATGCTATTAATTCCTCCGCGTGTCTCGTTGCAATGCGCTTACACCTACAATTTCTCTCGAAACGCGCACAATGAGGTATTGTTATCCCGGACGGTGCTTCTGGACCACCTCATTAAGGCTCCGTGTCCACAGACGGGCCAGTGGTCACTCAGCGAGGCTGTTGCAGCATCTAAACATGGCAGTGGCTCCTGTTAGCCCAGAGAGTGACCTCCCTCACCCTTCCAGTTTCCCCAGTGCCAGCAGAACAACAGCGTAGTATTTGAATACCCAACAAAAAAAAAAAAAAAAAAAACCCAGCCTCCTGTAGGAGCTGGAGTTATTTTAGGCAGAAGCAGTGACAATGGGAAAGAAAGAGGGGCGGTTGTAGTAGGTTGGATGAGTTTGCGAAATCCAAGTGCGTTTCTGGTTGCCAGCGGGAGTTCATGGGAGAAAACTGGCTTTTTATACGTGCCCCCCTCCTCATGTCCCTCAAACCATCAAACCTCATGGCGCTGCAATCATTTAATACTCCATCATTATGGGCTTTCGAACTTCATAAAACCGCACACATGATTTTGGTTATGTTGTAGTAGTACCACATTCCCCCCCTTCTGGATTTTACAACACTTAGTAGAACTGGGTCTGTTGATGTTTTGCTTCAGGAACCGGGTTCTTCGGCGAGGGCGTCGACTTTTTGAACCCGTGTCTGGGCGCTGGACGTAGGTGTCGTGCTGCGAAGTGCTCAGAACACCGTGAGAAACCCGCGTTTGGCTGCGGCTTCCCTGCGGCATCAGCCATTTCCTCCATCTTAACGTGCGTTTGTTTGGGACGTATCGGCTTTTTACTCTCATAGTGTGTGTGTGTGAGTGTGTGTGCATGGGTTGTTGCAGATGTGTGCGACTATTTTTGGGGCCGTCTCCTGTGTTTTTTCTTGTGCGCAGCCTGCCGGAAAGTGGAACCCAATGCTGATGCGGATAATGACACGCCGCCAAAAAGCCCTGTAGCTGAGGAGAGAGAGAGGGAGAAGGAGTGAAAAGGGCGAGAAAGCATGAATGACAGATGAAGCGAGGAGAGGTGAGGAGGAGATAAAACTTGCATGCAAAGATAAAACATGAGACAGGGTGTTTACCCCGCCATTGGCAAACCGTTGCATTGTTATAAGTCACCTATTATCTCTGGTTTATAGAGCATTCCTTGGTAACCGTGGCCTTCTACTCACCTCTTTGTTAAACTCAAGAACCTCGCCGGTTCGCTGTGAAGTCTGACGTCAGCGCTTTTATCCCGGTCTGAGGTCTCGGGGTCAAAGGTGAGGGTTCAGGGTTGCGCGGACGGACTGTAGAGTCACGGTGAGCAGGGTCCGGCCGGTCTGGCTCTGCCCACGGCTATTTCGGCTTCAAAGCAGACCAGCATGATTCCACTGGATTCAGCCCGTTTTTGCCACCAGAACAGGAGAGATGCATAAATTAGAGAGGCCAGATATGATGAAGGCATGGCCGACTCTGCTGCGGAGCATGTAAACATCTGACGGCACGCATCCCGACACCCCGACACAGCTGTTGCATTAGTATTTGATTAACCGAGACGACGGCATGCCTTCTCGAAAATTCCGCACGCACGAGAAAGACAGACATCCAGAAACTGAAGGTCTAACAAGCCTGTATTTTTCCAATGTTTATTATTGGTTTTCTTTTTATCTGATTGCTTTTAAGACTCACGGCATGAGGAGCGGAGAATTGTCTCTTTCCCCCCCTCACTCCCACATCCTCTGCGGTGAGAGGGTCACTCCAAGTCTGTAATAAGACACACACTCACACGTACATTCACACAGCCTCTCTGACTGCCTCTTCTGAGACTGCCGCCTCCATAGCAACCCCAATGTTTACGCCCCGCTCCCCACCTCCACCTCTGCCGTCACATCACACCAGCCTGCGGTTTTATCAAAACTACACATTTGAAAAGAAAATTGGAGTGATGATCAGCCCGAGCGGGGATATTCCAGACCATTAGGCAGATCCTGTTTCGGCTGATGTGTGTGTGGGTTTGGAGAGTGTGGGAGAGTTGGGATGTGGACCGAGCAGGACTATCAAAGCAGGAACCTCTGGACTGCGCGGAGGAAAAAGATGCGAGGTGACACGTGACACCGGCATAAACTGGTAGCAAAGCCGCACGCGTCTCAGAGCGTCGCTTTTGTTTTCCACAGTCTGTTAATCCTAAATCATCGCTCGTTTGAAGGGGAGCCCGACACGAAAGGGAGAGGAGGAGGGATCACGTGCCAGGAGAGGAAAAGGATGTTTCATCATCAGCTGCAACTTTGAATGGAGCAGAGCAACCGCGGCAAAAGTAAATGTTTGACAATCGTTATTATAATGAGGCAGCTGTGTAAAATCATAAAACTATATAAGTTACTAGAAGGTCTGTGTTACAGATTTATTTATCCCCTGAGATCATCAACAGTATCAATAAAACACAGAACACAGTAACAGGCACTCAGAAAACCTAAAAT